TTTAGGATCCTCGCAGCGTTCAGACTTCGCGATGGCAGCGCTTCGGATCGCGCGTTCGACGCGATCGATGCAGTGAAAGCATGCGCATCGATCGCGCCGAACGCGCGGCCGAAGCGCTGCCGTCGCGAAGTCTGAACGCTGCCTAAGGCACCTCAACGACCCACGAAAAGCACAAGTTGACTCAGAGCGGGCCGCACGCCCACGTAAAATGAGCGTTTCCACATCCCAATTACTCGTCGAATACCTGGCGGTCTTTTCAGAATTTTAGATAGAGCAAAGATAGTGTGGGATGGCGACTTAACCACTTCATGTCCTGTCTTGTCTTGATGCTGTCTCACTGTTTTTGAGGCAACGAGGGGCATTCGAGCCATTTTTACATTTCCAATTGATTTCCGGTAACAAATGTGCCTGGGACCAATTTGGAACTACCCAGACATTTCGTCAGGAGGGTGCAGAGGAGGGGTGTGTGTCAGGACTCACCGCCGCGCTCGAAACTAGGTCGCCGCGCTGGGAAGTGGGTCACCGCGCGCGGCGATTACATGCTTTAACATGTTTGCATGTTTGGACATGTTCTTGGCAGATGGAAGATGAGGAAAAGAAAGAACGCTCCAAGCAAACTGCGATAGGGTCATATTGATCGGAAGTTGGCAAAATGCCAGGTCAGGACTCACCGCCGCGCCACGCGACCAGGTCGCCGCGTGCGGTGACCTAGTTTTGAGTGCGGCCAAATTGCGTGCGAATTTCTTCACTCACTTTACCTCAGAATGTTCTGTACAACATACCTGCTGCCTTGTTCAGCGCTTGTAACGATTCTGGCCGTGTGACGAACCCAAAGATCATCTGATAGACGCTCTTTCGTAGTTCGTCAATAGCAGGGGTTGACTCGAGAAAGTGCGTGAAACAGTTCATGATTCTCTGACTGAACGGTTCCATCTGAAAATCAATATATCGATTGCATGAAAGCTGGATATTATCTTAATTCTATTGACCTGCTTGTCAACCACGCTACCATAGTCATCGTCCAAGAGTTGTTTCAAGCCAGAACATACCACACGTGTTACTTTCTCCTGTGGCAGATCGTAGTCGTTCAATACCTGGAAGTATACGTGACCGGGTGAGTTATATGAGGAAAGGGTGTGGAGTGTTACTTTCGGGTAGTGAAGTTGCGAAAGTACCCAAAATAACGCTACCAGGATCATCGCATGGCAGAGTACATAATAGCTATTTGGCTGAACAAATAGAAACACGCAGAGTGCTTATCGATTTGAGAGACGCAGACGCAGAGAGAGCTGATGCGCCGTAATGATGCCACGTTAAGTGGATTGGGTCCTAGTGCGAATGCTGCATAGCTCAGCCCGCTTGTGACTCTTATTTTGTCGCGGTCGCCGGTAATATTGGAAGTAACGCTCCATACCATGAGAAGATCAGATACTGTGACCTACCTGATCGATCGTCATCGCAACGGATTCCGACGTATTATCAGCTTGAACAAGCGGACGGAAAGGCAAGCAGGATGACTTTCACCTGCAAAGTGGTACGATTATAAGCCGTATTACAACAAGGTTGTCCCTTAACCCACCTCGTATTTTTGATTAATAAATGCTGGGAACGCAGCCGAGACGCACAGTCTGAACAATGGCTCATCAGAACCAGCGATCGGTGCCAAACGAACACAGTCCACTAGCACAGACACGCAGACTGCCGATGACAAAAGAGCACGAATCGATTGCAAAAGGCGAAGGTGCAGCGTGGAAATCAGCTGAAATTGATCCGATTTTAGCACGGAACAGAAGATAATTTTAATCACCAGGAGTACTAAATTCATCTTGTAGTACGCTGAAATGGACGTGGTTTGTTTGCTGCACGTTCGCTGAACAAGGAGAGGAGACGTTGAGAAGTTCCCACTACTACCCTTTTGTGATTCAAAAGCTCTGGGGTTTCAAGCGAATGATTGACTTAAAGGCACAGTACAGATATCGTATGGGCGGGGTTAGGACTGCCATTGGCACG